GATCATATCAAGGCAAAGATATGGGCAAACAAATATGTTGATTTCGGGTCTCTCCTCTCCGTATCACCAGAAGAGTCCAAATATTGATTATCTGTCGCAAATGACCATGATTATACTAGTCTTTGCCTTGAGCACGTTAAGCCAAAATGGCGTAGCTTATCCATTGACCAATGGGTGACTACATTTAATGTGTTTGTAGCTGTTTATACAATTAGGGTACCTAATGCGATAAGTTCTCTGATGAAGTATTGTGAGGTGGTCAGGGACATTGCAGCAAAACAAGGTAACTGGCGTTATTCTGACGAGCAGTTCCGATTTCTTCGCCAGTCTAAACCTGACTGATACCCATGGGATAACATGGCTTGGGAATTATGGGACCAGGCTATGCGTAGCTCCCTCACCACCTCACGGCCAAACTCAAACTATGATTTTCATGCAAGGCGGCCCAACCAGTGTCCCTTTCAGTCCTTTCCCAAAGGGGTGTGTTGGAGATTTCATTCCGGTCACTTCTGCAGGGGCTGCAATTTCAAACACTCCTGCTTTAAATGTGGGGCAGTCCATCCCATAAGCCAATGCAGCACTAACAGACTGAACAATAACACAAGCAACGCAACCTCTAGCATGCCCTCTGGGAGTGACAGTCAGGGACGAGCATCAGTTGTTGAGCCGCGGGCCAACACCGGTAAGGCCCGACTGTCTTGCATTTTATCTTAAGGGTTACAACAACGTAACTTCAGACTATCTTATCCAAGGCTTTATTCACGGTTTCTCAATACGATATTTTGGTTCTCCCCTTGCAATCTGATCCCCAAATCTGAAGAGCACCATGGACAATCCTACTAGCATGAATGGTAAGTGGTCAAAAGAGCTCGCAGCGGGCAGAATTGTGGGTCCGTATGATACGCCTCCCTTTGAAACTTTCAGGGTATCGCTCCTAGGCATTGTTCTCACAAAGTTGCTGGGAGAATTTAGGTTAATTCATCATTTGTCTTACCTGGAGGGGTTATCTGTTAATGATGGTATTCCTAAAGAGTTAGCCACTGTAAGATATGCCACTATCGATGATGCTGTTAGGCTCATTAAAGCAATAGGACAGGGCTGTTTTCTGGCTAAGACAGACATCAAATCCGCTTTTCATATCATTCCTGTAGCCCCCTGCAATTTTCCATTGCTCAGGATGGAATGGCAAGGGAAATTCTACTTTAACAAATGCCTTCCCATGGGGTGCTCGTCATCGTGCAATATATTTGAATCATTCAGCACTGCGTTAGAATGGATCACCAAATATAGATTGCACGCGTCATCGGTCATCCATATTTTAGATGACTTCTTATTTATTGGGCATTTGGAGGCAAAATGTCAGGTAGATCTCGATAATTTTCTTTACGTTTGCTGTCGTATAGGCGTTCTGATAGCTGATGAGAAAATTATGGGCACCACCAATGCTCTGCAATTCGCAGGGATCACTTTTGATACGGCATTGATGGAGGCTCGTTTTCCAGAGGACAAGCTTGCCAAATGCTTAACCCAGTTGGCGGATTTTTGCTCTTGTAAAAGCATCACGCTGAAAGAGCTACAATCTTTAATAGGGCTCCTCAATTTTGTCTGTGTTGTGGTTCCCAGACGTGCTTTTCTACGCCGTTTGATAGACTTGACTAAAGGTATCTGGAAACCCACACATCACGTCAGATTAACCCAGGAATGTAAACACGATCTCAATGTCTGGCGGGAATTTTTGAGCGTGTACAATCGCAAATCCTTTTTCCTTGGATTGCGATGGGCCACTTCCCAAAACCTCAATTTATTTACCGACGCGGCAGGTTCCTTGGGCTATGCTGCAGTATTTGGCACACATTGGTGTTTTGGAGAGTGGCCCGCCACTTGGAAACAACTCAATATTACTGTCCTAGAGTTCTTTCCGATTGTCGTGGCATTATATCATATCTCTCAGCAAAGAAGTTTGCCTCCTCGACCATCTCGACATATGTCTCAGCGTTAAGTTATGTTTACAAGCTAGGTAATTTTCCTGATCCCACTAAACTGTTTTTAGTGCAGAAGGTTCTAGTGGCTGACAGTAAGCTATACTCTTCACCAGATGTTTGACTTCCAATAACACGCAGCGTGTTGCAACGATTAGTGCTCGCATTAGATCATACCAACTCATCAGCATATCAAAGGCTGTTGTACCAGACCATGTTTTTGGTGGCCTTCTATGGCTTTTTTTGAGTAGGTGAACTCACGGCCAAGGGTGCAATTTTGAAACCTTTAGTGCAAATACAAGACCTTCATTTCCAATTGAAAGACAATTGCGTGACTGCCGCGACAATTGTCATCACCGACTTCAAACATAAGTCGGGTAGGTGCCCCTTTTCAGTTGTTTTGGACTGCGCAACGGGAACAGAGTTTTGCCCAGTGAATTATTTACATTACTGTTCTATGCGGGGTACCACTCTGGGTGCCTTGTTCTGCTTTTCCGATGGATCCCCAGTTCAAACTAGCCATTTTACACAACAACTGCAGCAAGCACTAAACTTTTGTGGACTTGATTCATCCAAATACAAATCTCACGCTTTTCAGATCGGCACCACATTGTTGGTGGCTGACCAAGGTTTCTCGGATCCCCAGATTCGCCACCTTGGCCATTGGAAATCCGATGCATTTAAACTGTATATTTGTCAACCTGGAGAGGTGTTTAAGACTTAAGCTTGCCTTTCAGTCAGGGGCTGGGGCATTATAATTATTATTTCTAGTCTTCAATAAACTACTTCAGCTGTTAGCTGTAGCTAAGATCAATGCTCGCCTTCCAGGCATGGGCTGGGGTGGCAATTTTAGCCTAGCACATCCTATTTTATCTTTCGAGTTAGTTATTTTATTTTATTCCGACAAAGACCGGGCAAGTGCCGGCTTTCCCTAATATTATTATGAGTGTTCTTACTATTATTACGGTTAATCATAAAGTGACCCACAATTTAGCTTATCTTGAGAGTTAGTTTGCCTGTCAGACAAGGGCTGGGGCAACAATTTTATATTAGAGTAGTTGTTAATCTAGAACGCTGGAAAGCGTGCTCTTATCGAGCCTGAGAACTAGCCATTTAGTCTTCAAGGACACGTCAGAGAAGGGCCTGGTGTTCCTGATGCCTTCATATTAAATATTTTCCATTATCTTTATATTTGGTTGTTTCTGCACTATTTTATAGTGCGTGCGTGCCTGCAGCTTGGGTTGGGGCTCACCACAGGATGTGGCTTGTGGCTGTTTTTCACCCCAACTTTATTCACTGAATCAAATATAGCGATGTTTAATTGATTAATTTGACACCTTAGCATTTGAATGGTTTGAAATAAATGCCACGCGAGGGGCCAAATTAATCCAAACAAGTATCTCAGTGATTTCTGGCTGCATGCAAGACCGCGATTGTAACCATTTCATTATAGTCTTTTGTGCGCTGGGTTTATAAATAGGCGCCGCTCTCGGCATAAATGGCCCACTATTGACTGGGGCAGGGCCTTATCTTATCTTACGGTACAAGCTGCAGAGGCAGATAGCTGATAATGGGCTAGACACCACACACAGAGCAAGCTTTAAATTCGCGTGCTCTGCTAACCCTCTCCCCTTTTTCTGCCAGCACCAAGCATGATAGCTGTTTAGCCTTAGAAGCGTACTTTACTTTCTTTCGTCGGCCCTCCACCATCCCCTGAGCTCCTCCTCTGCTCTTGCTACCTCTTACTGGGTTGGCTGTTTTTCGCCCCAACTTTATTCACTGAATCAAATATAGCAATGTTTAATTGATCAATTTGACACCTTAGTATTTGAATGGTTTGAAATAAACGCCACGTGAGCGGCCAAATTAATCCAAACAAGTGTCTCGGTGATTCAGTGATTTCTGGCCGCATGCACGACCGCGATTATAACTATTTCATTATAGTCTTTTGTGCACTGGGTTTATAACTAGGCGCTGCTCTCGGCATAAAAACTACTTGAAAGATGCCAAAACGTTTAAATCATGACACTGACAAAAAAACTGATTTCTAACTTCAATACACATGCATGTCCACATGCACAGGTTTTCGTTTGGTTTTCACACGAAATGCTTCTTTGTAATGGCCTGTTAAAATATTCTGTAGTTTCTGCACAAAGGAATGGTTTTTGGCTTTTTGCTACATGAACACTCCTTTTTTTCTCTCATGTAAAAAACAAAATGTGTATAAAATATATATGACTGGATTTATGAAAACTGTGTTAAGGCTTTGCACCAAAATAGCAGGCATGTTTTTTGGAAAATCGGTCAGATACTGCACAAAACTATGGACATGTATTGAGAGCACTATCTGCCTTGTGTACTCTTAAAAGAAGCCATAACATGCTTGTACAAGCCATTGAAGTCACATGCAAGTACAAGTCATTGAGTCAAATGGGCCAAACAAAGCTGAATTAGAATTAAAGGTTAAATTGATCACCTGACTTGCGGCGCTAATTCAAACATGTTTAAATGTCTTCGCAATTTCACCTAAATGACCTCACTATGTCTCTACTGGGTTAAATTAGCCAATCATTGTGACACGAGCATGGAAAGCACTCACCATTGGTCATTTATGTCTATAGTTCAGTGAAAAAGCAGCCCTTGCATGACATTCAATTTTAACATGTCTGGATTTGCAAAAACAGCCACAGATTTTGACTTGTCACTGATAATCTTGACGATCGATGGAATCAGTTACGCGATTAACTTTACTTGATATGCTGTCGAACTTCGGCTCTGTGTCACAAAATTTTGCATACTTACTGGCAAAAGAACATTATTAATTGCAAATTTTTGTAGAGGTGTTGAAAATCTAATGAAATTTCCCCTATTGTTCAAGCGAATTATAGCTTGAAACGCATTGATTTTTCCCTGGAATTTTCACGTGGTTTTTCGATGAAAATTCGTAAAGACAAAGAATGAAATTTGAGCATTTTACTTGCATTACTTTTCCACAATACTGTATTTCTGACTAATGATTTTTTTTCAACTTTGCGAGACCAATTACTCTGATTTTCCTGTAGGTACCAATTTTAACTAAATTGGATATTGATAACAGTGCAAGAGACTATCACAAAATTGTTTTTCTGTGGAAATAAACGCCGTTCTTTTGAAAAACGACTCGCTGAAAATGACTAAAATTTGGGTCACGCTAATTAAGGATTTTGCGGCAATATTTGGCACCTCGTAAAAACTGTCAAATTAAAGCGAAAGACCTCAAATATATCTCAGTCAACTAATAAAGGGACAAATATCATCGCACAAAAATAAGAGTTTCTGGAATTTGTACGAGGTATCTTTTAGGCTCACCTAAAGTTGCCCGACATTTCAGCCATTTTCAACCGCTTGAAAGCCCAAAATCATGATGTGGAGATATCTTGAAGAAAAACGAACGCCTACCTTGGCAAATGTCATGGTTGTTAATCTTTTTGGATAGCTTTTGTACTGTGAAAAGATGAAGGTAAATGGCCTACCTCGATCTTTTGGTACTGCCCGGTTTTCTCTGACGATGACACTTAACAGGTCTAATGACCATTTGGAGCAGGAGACCAGTGCACCCACCTAGGCACATGGAAGACTTGTTTTAGATTTTCCGAACAATAAATGTGCATATCTGAAATCCACCTGGGATGTTTGGCTGTAATTTCATCAAATCCTACTTCCATGATTTAATTCTCTGATCCCAATAAATGCTGGACTGGTTACTGGAAATGCGTATACTTTATCAGAACACAAGACAATTTAGAATTAACTTTTGAGACCGTCGTCACTGAAAACGGATTTAAGAAACAAATCCAAAGAGCCGATGAAAATGGACTGAAAAGGTGAAACTAAAAGAAGATAAACAAGTAGGTCAAAACTTCATTGAATTGAAACATAATTATGGCAGTGGTCATCTTGTTAAATTATTCAAAAACAAAGGAAATGCTTAACAATTGCGAAGCTAAATGACTAGGATGTGTTTTGACTCTGCCAATTTACAGGGGACAGGAGCAGCATGGAAAAGGGTGGGAGGCAGCAGATAAAGGTACGGGAAGCAGGAGAGCAGGATACAGGGGGCGGGAGGTTTTGACTCCCCTGTCCCCCCCACAAGATATAATTCACGCAATTGCAGGTTGGTAATGTTGTACAAGACTTTACATTGAGGGATTATTAACTCTTTTACTAGTTTTTCATGGGGCACTTTTCAAAGTCCTGTTAGGTTCGGTTGTCATGGTTTTGTCTCCCGAAGAGATACCTAGAATATAATAAACATCCAGACCTAGATGGTTTTGCAGCTCTTTCAGAAGCTTTAAATATTTAAATCTTTTATACGGTGGTTGCATAATGGATCAGAGCAACCACTTTGTCATCTGCAAAGAGAGTTATGGCTAATACTTCTAGACATTCATTTAATCCGCTTCCTTGCATGTAAGATAAAATTAGATCACGTCTCAATTTGTTTCAACATTGCTAAGAGGGGATAGGAGAGAGGGAAGGGGTACAAGATGGAAGTGAAGAGTTCAC